GGAACTTCACGATTTCATTTCATGTCACATCATAGTTCTTGTTCTCAGACACGAAGTCGTGCTGCGCACGAAGAAGCTCTGGAATGTCGTAGATTGGGCTCAACTTCGACCAATTTTAGCCAATCTTAGGGGTTTAGATGTTGTTCCGAAACTTGGTTGCCAATTTCGATTTGGGACGGGTGCCATAGCCTGTTTGGTCTTGCCCTTCCTCGATTCCAAAAACTACGACACCAGTGACAGTTGCTTAGATCGAGCGGGATCTAACGATACTTGTCCCCTGGCGTATAGTTGCTTACGGATAACCCAGGTTTAACCTCCAAGCATAGTTTCGGTTTAACAAGCTCATTCGGATCACCCCTCCCCGCGTGGTTACTCGAATAGATGACTAAATAGATGTTGCACAGCGGGTAGATTGAGCTCAGTTTTATTACTTAGAAGAAGTAGTGGTTATCAGGTAATTTGAAATTACAGATACTGCCTTTTAAAAATCGGCATATTGCACAGCTCACAGTATTCGACCTGCGTCCGAACTAACTACACTCCCACAGATCCAAAACCACCAGTGGGAGCTTCGTAAATGGCGGTTTCGTATCTGGGTGAGTGGCACGTGCGTTATCAAATTTCGCACTGTACGATTTGCCTAAATTGATGACTTTTTTTAAAAATAAATTAATTAGTTTTTTCACAACAATCTCCATAAATAATGAAAATACTACAGTTGTACATAAACTTTTAAAAGCCGAGTTATTGACACCGCCGACCGTGACGCGATCGCAGTAATGATCGACGCGCAGGCCGTCACGTCCCGAAAAGTGTATGTGTACCATTTCTGGTAAGAATTGTACTGACATAGATCGGCCATCTGATTAATGTAACAGATTTATACTTTTCACAGTTTAGCTACTCCCTTTTTCTTTTTAGCACTGTAGACTCTTGATCGCGAGTAGCTATGTCCTGAGTGTTACATGTACTTGTCAAGTTTGAAGCTTTTCAGATCAGCATTGTGACAGATGCCACAGTGGTAGAATGTCCCCCCCCCCCTCCAAAGGTTAAACAAGCCTGTAACTTACGTCTGTCACGGAGAGATCAGAACTCCAGAACTCCAGAACTCCATCAAACACATTGCCATAACGAACTCAATACTGACAAGGTATTAAAACTACGAACTATGCTACGCTGCTACAGCTACGTCTTTCATCGTGCACACTTACGCACCGTGGACGGCAGTGTAGTTGTAGTACACCTGGTTCTCGTATTCACTGTCGCAGTACGGGAACTCCGTATCCGAGTCCGTCGGCGCGAACAACGTTTTGCCGGATGTGTACGTCACGTAGCAGCCCAGGAAGCCGCACACGACCACGACGATGAGCGCCGGGATCTTCTCGTACAGGGGAATCTCGTGCCACAGCTTCTTAAGCAGGAAAATAATGGGCAGCAGAATACTGATCAGCGTGATGCACGAAGCGCCCACGAAATCCACCAGGTCCGAAAAGTGATCCTTCAGGATAACCGAGAGGATGACCAACACCACGATGATGGCGACACGCAGGATCACGTACTTGATGGCGTTCACTCCGTGGTATTCGGCAGCTTCCGCCTCAAGGTCACCATGGTACGGATTCTCAGCGTCGGCGTTCGAGATGTATGACATTTTGGACGAGCGACGGTCGTCACCGTTAACGGCGTCCTTGCCAGGCGTGTTCGCAGCAGCGTATGAAGCGGCTGAGGAGGAGAATGACAATAACGAGGAGAAGGACAACAACGAAGATTAATAAAATATCTTCAATTTTACCAATAACTGTTTACTTTATTAAAAAAATAAAGTTGAATACACCATCAAGTTTTTCAATTATGGAGGGGGTGTCACCCTTACACTTTTTGTCGTGTTAAGGATGTGGTCGTACTATTGCATATTTTACGTCGTTGCATTTTTTACGTCGAATCCGGTACGCAGCGACAAGGCCATCCGCAACCTACTGAACCCCAAGAAGAAGTCATCCCCCTCAAAAAAGGTCGGCAGGCCGACAAAAGTTACCCAACGTACTGCTAGGCGTGTCTTTCGGCTTGCTACAGTCAAGAAGTACACGTCTAAGCGGATCGCACAGGCTCTCGGCTATGTCCTTAGGCCTAGTACGGCGCGAAATCTGCTTCGCTCATTTTGCGCTGCTAAGTGGATCAAGCGTGAACCTGCTCCAGCCATGAAGCCTCACCATAAGGTCGCACGTGAAGCATTTGCTGCGAAATTTTTGAGCAAGACGCGCATGTGGAGGCGCGTTATCTTTAGCGATGAAAAGAAGTTCAACTTAGACGGCCATGACGGCTACCAGTACTACTGGCACGACGTCAGGGCTGACACTGAGTTGTACTCAAAGCGAGTGAGCGGCGGCGGCAGCGTGATGGTGTGGGCTG